GCCGAAGGCCAGTACGGGGTAGTAGAGGAAGTGCTGATAGCGGACGAGGAATTTGGCGACGGCGTCATAGGCCATGATGCGATCGTAGTAGGTGGAGCGGAGACCGTCGAAAAAGCGGTGTGAGATGGCGAAGAAAGGCATATGTTCGATGTCCGGGTCGTGTTCTGGGGAGTTGGTGACGATGTGGTGGACGTTGTGGTTACGTTTCCACCAGCCAAGACTTAGGCCGCCGATGAAATCAGCGACGATGATACCGAGGACGGTGTCCAGATGGAAGTTGTGGGTTATACCCATGTGGCCAGCGTCGTGGGCGGTGAAGACGAGCTGGTGCCACATAAGCCCTAGGAAGAGACCAGAAGTTGCGTACCAGCCGCGGAAAAGAAAGTAGAGTGACAAGGCTCCGAGAAGCGTGTAGCGAGAGAGTTCGATTAAATATGCAAAGTAGTTGCAGTTGTAGAGACCTTCGGCTTTGACCTGCTCGTGGAGAGCGCGGTATTTTTCTACGATGAAATCTTGAGTTTTAGTATCAAGAGGGGGATATTTCGCGAGATCAATGACTATTTCCTGCTGGGTGCGTGCATCTAGGAAGAGTGGTCTTGAGTCCCGTTTAGGATCGGTCAGCGCGATGGGAGAATTCGATGATACGGAGGATATGGAGGATGCTGGTCCCCTGAGTCTAGATATGCCCTCGACTGGTTCGAATATGGGCGACGGGGGTTCTGTGGTATCTGGCTCTGACAAATCCTCACAGGGGGCCTCACAGATGTCGGACTCTTTTCCGTGGTATGGGAGAAATTTTCCACCCTGAATAGGAGGAAGGAAATTCAACCAGCGCCCTTCAAAGCGACCAATCTGAAATGATTCCATCCGTTGGAGGGCTTCCGGCGAATGCAGGCTACATGGAAGACGGTCAATTACAATCCACAGGGGTTTAATGACAGCAAAGAATGCATTTTCAATCGAGTGCGAGAGGTGTATATCCATACGCAGTAACCTCATCCGTAGCATCTCTCCCAACCATGTGCATAATAGCCTTGTCTCCGCCAGGATGGAACTTTATCCAGGCGTCTACCATCAACACCTTCCCCTCCAGTATTATGATGTGCCTGCCATCTGCTATGAGGCCTTCAATCTCTCGCCGTGAAAAGACCCTGTCCTTCCGGCAAGCTGAGGATTTGAAGCTCCGGGTGCTCATGATAACTTGCAGGGACAGGCGGTGGTCGAACCCTTGAAAGCGAGAATGGGGGTTAAGGGATCCGGAGCTCGCTAGTAAACCAAACCAAACCAGAGACCTAACGAGGGATCTAACAAAAGACCAAACGAAAGACTGTGATGCTCGACCCAATTGAAGGATCGGGTCGAGAGGGAGAGGCGGGGGGGGGGGGGGGGGGGGGGCCGGCGAAGAGTGTTGTTGAGTTGTTGATGTTGGTAAAGAAAAGAGAGTTTGGCTGCATTCAGGGATGTTTCTAGACCCCAAACGAATCACATGTTCACGGGTTGCATTAGTCACCCAGCTGCCTTGTTAAACTTACCTAACTATTTACTATAACGTAATCGATAAGCAAGTCAGCCACATAAGTGAGTCGGCCACTTTCCTCCCCACTGTACAACAAGAATGCCTTCAAAGTCTCAACTATAAAGAAAAACTAGCAAATTACATTATAAATTATTTCCTATACACTTAGAGCATGTATGAGCAGTATGCTCAATAATCCCACATAAACTACACTGTGATGCTGCACATTTTTGTGATTGTGACTCAGCAGTCTCAACTACCCCCTGCTCTCATTCATTGACCCTTTGTACATGATTCAAGCCTTCTTCAATCCTCAAAGCACCCTCTTGAGCTACATATGTACAGCCTCTTTCTCACTTCTTCTTTTGTTTGAAATTTGCAGCCCTTAACTCCCTGTTTTCAGCTGCTAGAATAGCAGCACTGTGCATTGCCATTTGACACCCTTTGACCAGCTGACTTAGAGCATGATTGATTGGACTGGGTGAGCTCTGCATACAGTGCTTGATATATCCTTTAACTTTCTCAGTCTGCTGCTCCAATTGGTGTATATTATGTGGTGTGGCTGTGGCCCAGGAGGCCTGGGAGCTGTGGAAGATCCCTGGGGAGGTGAGGGTATGCATCATGATATTAAGTCACAAGAGAACCTGCTCAGGATTGTACAGAATCAGTCCAGCAGCCCTAAAGCTGCTCTTGATATTGCTCTCAGTCAGGGCCTGCATATGAGCTGCAGGATAGAGACTCAAAAACTCCTCCTTGTCAATATGATTGATCCCAAGCCACATCTGGTTTTCCACCTGCTGTCTGTATGCAGTTTTCAGGGGTGAGAAGCAGTCAATATCCAATGGCTGAAGAAGATGGGAGGAATGTGATGGCATGTAGAGGGCAATGATCTGATTCTCAGTGCAAAATTGATCAAATCCAGCTGAGGCATGGCTTCAGTGTCAGTCTAGAATCAACAGTCAATATCTGCCCTTCATACAGGGTAGAGTCTCCTTGTTGAACACCTCTTTCAGCCAGTATAAGCTCAGCTGGTCAGTGATCCAGCCATTCTCACTGACTTCAATCACCCAGTCACATGGTAGCCCTTCTGTCTCATATCAGCAGGATTGATGCATCTTTCCTTTGAGGATAATCATTGTATGCAAGACCCAGCCAATTGCATTGACTCCAGCAATAACAGTCACTCATTTCTGATCTCCAGGCTGTACAAGCTTGAGATTCTCAGCTCTTTCAGATCCAGTCATCACCCTGGCAGTTCCAATTACACTCATCTGAAACCCAGTCTCATCAAAGTTGTAGATATCATCTTCCAGAATCCCATACTTCACAATAGTGTTTCATATGAGTCTAAATCACCCATGGATAATCTCAGGATCCTCACATAAGGCCCACTGATGATCATACTTGTGTGAGAACTTGGATTTCAGCTCATCATGATGCTTGACAAAGTTTCATACCCAGCATTCACTCACTGTGAGTGGGAGATTGAATCCTCAGCTGGCAAGAAGAAGATTGGCCATTTCTCATACAGCTGCAACCTGGAGAGGCTGATCTTGTTCATCCATGGTCAGAATCCATTGAACAAGAGATTCTTCCTCTATAAGACTAAGTTTCCAGTTCTTTGGAGGAGTGTTAATGCATGCTGTATGACCATGTACCCAATCACCTAGGGTGGAACATGGAACATCATACAGCTTTGCTGCAGCTCATACACTTGAAATTTGACCATTTTTAAATGCTTGAATGGCTAAAAGAAGCCTTCCTTCCTGAGTAGAGGCTTTATTTCTTTGTGTGGTTGACATTTTTGATGATGAAGATGTTGTTCTGGGATGAGATGAAAAGTGGCTGACTTGCTTATGTGGCCGACTCGATATGAACCAGCGTATTACTTTAGGACAGATTGATGAAAAGAGGCTATAGTAGGGGCGTGCCAGGGAAAAGCCTGATGTTGTCTCGTTCCACGGTCCGACCAATCGGAATTCCAGCCCCACGACGTTCCTGTGGATGTGGTGGGAAGGGCACATTCAGGTGTTACATTTGATCACTATTTTATTATTGGGGTCTCATTCAAAGATACGTTTTGGTGGGGCTGCCAGACCCGGTAACTAGTTATTGCGGTTGCTGTTTGACGGAGGTGGAAAACCCCGTATGGCTTGTGTGGAGCCTGGAGACAGACAGATCCCATGTAAGCACAACCTCTCGGCCGTGAGCGCATTTCTTTTCTTACATTCAGTCTTATATTAACGTTAGCTTTGCATTCAAGTTGTCGGGCGGTGAACGCATTACAGCTTATAGTTACATTCGAAAATCTAGGCCAAGTCTTATCTAGATATTGTTATGAATCGGGATTAAAACTAAGACTTATATTAAGGAGCAATCTGTGTTGACTGAAGTTCTAGGCTGGCTTACTGAAATTGAGATATCCTTTCATTTCGTTTACAGCTTCATTTACTTCATAGCCTCAGTCTTACTCTATGAGGTGGTAGTTTGCCAGAACCAGTCTCAGGTGTCAGCTTGACTTTTAACTACGGGATGAGATGTGCTGTAGTTACAGCGAACCGGGCCGTGTTGATGGATAGAGCGGTACTTCGTGCCCAGATTGCATGTAGTTATCCTGATTCGAGGGCCTCTTCTTATCAGACCTTTGATCCGTACGTAGGTAGTTTAAGAAATGGTCTCATTTGAATCATGTTCTAATAACTATCCATATAGACTAGCAACGTGCTCAAGAGAATGTGGAGAATCAGAATCAGTTGCAAAAGTAACCTGTAAGAGTAGTTTGTGCCGGCACGAGTAGTTGGGCTCGTGAAGTCGAAATTACGAAGAACACCCTGGAACGGAGTAACTGCCCTGGCCGGGTGCTTAATAGGTAGGAATTTTACGAGGAAAAGCGTAGCCGAATTTTTTTTTTTTTAAAAAAAAAAAAACCTCTGAAGGGAAGCTGGAGTGCGCAATTGTTTTTCAACACTCCTATTTTAAGCTCTAATTGATAACCTACAGTTTAACAGTTAAGCTTCAGGGGTTGAAGCCATATCTCAGAATTTTTTAGGGGCCCCTGCTCGGCCCGCTTCCGTAGCTGAATAGGCGAGCCTTGACTAGTCCAGAGCCTAATATATAACTACAGGATGCGCATGCCTGAGGCTGCTCACTCCCACCTTAAAGGCCGCCTGGGATCCCGGTTTTCGGCCACTTTAGCCCGATTTTTAAACACGACCTGAAAAAAAAGAAAAAAAAAAATCTCAAGTTGCACTCGAGCTCAGGGGTTTAGTTACAACTTCTTGAAGTTGACAAGATTTCTGGTAGAGAGAGACACTAACTGATGGCTTCAGTAAATTTGAATATAACAAGGCGATCATTGCCTTTTATTCTGGTTTTTAGAATAATCCATGTCATTTAATCCTTTAACCTTGAACTGAATAATATAGCAGTCAAAATCTTCGGTATATCCATTTTCATTCCTCAACTCCACGTTTAACACAACATAATGAAGATCACCATTGTTGCCTCTCTCTTCCTCACTATCGCCGGTCTCGCCGCCGCTTCACCCCTGGCTCAGCCTGATGATGTTCCGATCGTCCCTGTCGAACCTGATAATGACCCGAGCATCACTTCCATTCCTGGGACTAGCTGCTCAGGATCTGGGCGAATTATCTGCAGCATCAGCGATGGGCAGCGGTATGTGATAGCATACCCTTCCCTTTTTGAGACATGACAGATGACTGATTACTACTCCTTGTGTGAATAGATACCCACATATCCTTGTCTGTGTCAACCGTGGACAAGGCCTGAAATGGGAAATTCAGGCCACTTGTCCCCCCAGCACGTCGTGCCGTTATAACAGCCAGAAAAACTGGGCTTGGTGCGAGCGCTATTGAGGCTAGCATGTTGCTGAGGTGATATGCTGAGCAAGTTGACTGGGATGAAGATGATGTGAAGCAGTGATTACTGATGAAGAAGAGCAGAATGAAAACGGGTTCATATTTGCTGTGTTTCCAATGAGTTGAAAGGAGTGGTTTTTAGAGAGATATTCTTCATCTTCATTCCTTGTGAATGATTGACTTTTTGTTTTTTTTTCAATAGACAGTTAACTATGCAATAGTTAGCAGCTTTATTCTAAACTTTATATATAATTTTATTAAAACTTACTTGACTGACGCATTTCAGGATCACTACCCCACGTGCCGTAGCCTGTTTTAGTAACTAAGTATCAACTCGGTTAAACGAATCGATCACCGAGCGGATAGCTTCCCACCACAAATCACCCGCATTCATCAAATCATTCAATGTGCCCCCAAAATCAAAAGATCAAGCTTCTAATCAAGAAGGAAAGCTCTTATTATATTAATGCCTGTAAAACCGGGCAAATCTCATCCAAATATGTTGCTGCTAAATCATTTAATGTTCCTTATTCCATTCTAGTCTGTAGACTAGCCGGTCGAGCTTCTCGTGCGAATGTTCAACCAAACTGTCAAAAACTGACCTCTACGGAAAAATAATCTCTAGTCCAATGGATAATATCCATGGATGAGAGAGGCTAGCCTTCTCGAATTGAAAACATCTGAAATATGGCGGATTTACTACTTTCTACCCGAGTTGAATCTGCTGTGGGGGAAAAGTGGGTTCAAAGATTCATTACACGTCATGAGGAACAAAAGACTAGATTCTCATGCAAAAACAACTACAAGTGAGTTTTATGTGAAGATCCTAAGATCACACAAGAGTGAAAATGGCTGGACCACGGATAAACTGGGTATCTGGCTCAAGGAGATCTTTGAGAAGCACCATCAGAGTTCGTAATGATTGGCAGATATGGGTTATTGATTATGGATGGACATGACAGTCACAGCATCACCTGAATTTGATCAGTACTGAGCAGAGAGATCTATTATACCTCTCTGTATGCCAGCTCATTTATCTCATCTGCTGCGGCCGCTAGATGTGAGCTGCTTTGGACCCTTAAAATGAGTGTGTAGATGAAGGATTGAGGATTTCATGAGATTAGAGATCAATTATATCAACAACAAGGATTTTCTAGCACTCTATTCTGCAGTCAGAATGAAGGCATTCAAGGACTCTACTATTAAGAATGAATTTAAGGGCACAGGTCTAGTGCTGTATGAGCTGAATGAGATTCTTACACATCTACACATCTACGTACTCAGCTTCATACTTCTACTCTCTCAGACACTTCTCATGGATCAGAGTCATTCTATACTCCTCACGCCTGAGAATGTGAGGTAGTTAAAACTTCAAAACAGCAAGATCAAGCAGTGTATGGAGCTCTGTCCAGTCCAATCAATCAAGTCTTTATTCAGTTGGTTAAGGGATGCCCTCTGGCCATGCGTAGTGCTGCTATCTGAGCAAAGGAAAATAAGGAGCTAAGAGCTGCAGTTGAGAGGAAAAGGTGTAAGAAGGAAAAAGCTCATACATTTGTAGCTTAGAATGGAGCTTTAACAGCTGGGGAATGAATAGCTAGAGCTCAAGCAATTGTTCAAACTGTACAGCAAGGGGTAGAGAATTTGAACCAGCCGCCTAGAAAGCGAGCTACACCACACTGTAGCAAGCGTAATACAGTTGATCATACTGCTAGAACCTGTCAATAGACCTAAGGAATAATTTTATATAAAATATATGAGAAATTCTAGTTTGGTGGTTGCTTAATTCCGCAATTTGACTGGGTTTGAAATGGGAGACGATCCGCTCAGTGATCGATTACGTTATATTTTATAGCTTTATAAATAAATAAAAAAAAATAATCTTTATATTATTTCTAATTTATTGTTTTTTTTACATTGCTTTAGTTAATTAAAAAACATAAATATAGTTACATGAATAATATTAAAATTGTAAAGAACCTAATGTGATGAAAGACAGCAATGTTTATAATAAAGCAAATCAATGATACTGGCGGAGATAAAAATGCGAAACAGAAGCAAAGCCGAACGCGGGGGTCGAACCCGCAACCTTGCGGTCACACGAAGTGATCCTAAGAGCCGCACGCTCTACCGATTGAGCTAGCCCGGCTCTAGTCGACCAGCGCAACTCCGCAGAGCACTTTTACTCGTCGAGCCCTTAAAGCTCCCGCCGGCCAGGCTTAGTAACGCGTAGTTATGGAAGCAGAAAATAGTTATCCTTATGAACGGAAAGAGTATAAGAGTACAACCAACACCTTCAATTGTCCTTATAACGGAGACGTTAATTCGTATCATCCTGAGCATGAAATGAATGCCTGCTGTAGAACAGTTGCAACTCTCTCAGGCTACCCCCGCCCAGTCAGCCTTCAACTAAATATCTTCGCGCTAGGCGTGGAACGCAGCGATATGTCGACGGAGCGCCAGAGCCGATGACATCCTTTTCCCCTTCTCCTTTGAATACGAACACCCTCTTCCGGGCAAAACAGCGAATCATCCCCCTCTTTGGGGTGTTTGGACTTTAGATGGTAACGATAACTGGAGTAAGTCTTACATATATGCTCGCATTCCGGCACAAGACATTTGAATTTGAGGCGCTGGCTGATAACTTGTCAGGTATGAAGGTGAAAGTATGCCTGTATGCCGGTATATATACACGTAGGGAGAGCAGAAAAAAACTGGCCACGATCTTGGGAATGACTTACGTTAAAAAAGCACACTCTTTAAGACTCGGTTCCCCGGTCTGCTGGTCCTACGCCAGACATACGTTGTCAGCAAGATGGTTTGCATAATATATACGGGTGGGGTGGGTATTTAGATGTTGATTGATATCATCGTGGGAGTAATTGCCACAAGCGGCACCGGTTCTTACCGCATACTTTGAAACAGGCTTTGAAAGTGAGCGACGAGATTTCCCCTGTTCACCACCGCTCTTGGAGGGGATGTCTTCTTGTATTTCCTCAATTCTTGATTGCTGGGGTTGCTGGTCCTCCTCCAATGGACGCCCGTCACCAACAAGATAGTTTGTATAATATGATGGGATAACTGGCTGTTGATCGGTATCAGTACAAGAATAGCTCTCATGGACAGAGCTAGTCGTTACCTCAAAGATTGAAGGACGGTCTGAGGAAGGCTGATTCAACTGCTCCAGTTGGCCGTTCTCAGCAGAAACAAGTTCTTGCATGTCATCGACATTCTGTCGCTGGGACTGTTGGTCCTCCACCAGAATCCCGTCTACAATGCGATAGGTCACATAGCATGGCTGGGTCATCGGCTGTTCACGTCGCTCGCTACGAATCACGTTTCTTGAGTGTTGGACATTTGTGAGCTTCCTCCTTCCCCTTCTCGCCATTCCTCCCCACGCATGAGAAAATGGTGGCACTGATGTCTAATGCAACAGAAGAGCAAAGATAATAAGAAAGAATATAGGAGGATTGATAGGTAAAAAGCTGATAGGAAGCATCTTTTCCTTACCCGCAGAGATATCTGAATATCTCTAGGCAGACACCTAGGTATATATCCGCTATATGCAAAGGATGACGAAGCAAGCCAGTTGCTTCCCTCTCCAGTATTTCAGATGAAGTGGCGGCCTGGGGTGCAAACGAGGAAGGGGCAGAAGCTGTTTAATTCGCGGAGAATTCGATCCACCACGGATCCTAAAAGCCCCATTGATGCGGAAGGGGGAGGGAAGCGCCTCCGTTTCCGCCTGCCGCAGCAGCCACCAGGACGGCCAGAAAGTTGAGCTGGTATCGTAAATGGATAGATAGAATGAGATATAGAGAAAATGCAATGAACTCCAGAGTTCTGCCATTCCATGCCGGTGCCGGGGAGGGCCAGCTAGCAGCTGTGAAAAATAGCAGCTGAAACTGAAAGAGAGAGAGAGAGAAAGGAGAAGAGAAAGAAGGTCAAAACTAGAGCAAACACAAAAAATCATTCTGATATCCTCGATGAATTTTCCGAAGTTCTAGCTCGCTTTCATTAGGCAGGTAAAACAGCTGGATCTCTGGTCAGTGTCCAATTATGTCTGCGAATTATGTTCAGCTACACCCCTAGGTATATGGTATAGAGAAAGATTTTAACCGTTAACCGCTTCCTATTTCCTTCGCTAGGAAAAGTTAACCTGATTAAAGAAAGGGTGGTGCTGAGGAAACTGGTGCGAGGCCAAGTGGTTGAAATTAAAAGTGAGGTTGCTGGCCCATCAATGGGAGTACTCTGGCTGTCTGCTGATGACACCTCTAGAGTGAGCACTTTACATGCTAATCTGTAGTTAACTAATACCTAACTGCTCCGTAGGTTAGTCATTTAAACTTGGGAGGAGAGTCGTCACGGCCCGAGACTCTGCGTCCTCTTCTCCTCCGTCTCTCTCAAAGGGAACTACACCCTACAGTATGTATACATCAACGGTTTACGTCTTCCAATTATTGCAAACATGCCAATGAACCAGATCTCTGGCTGCAAGGGCATCCTCCAGGCTGTCATGCCCTCTGTTTCCCCTGCTCTGAATTTCCCTACCCAGTTTTTCCCTGGCAAGCGACTTGAGTGATAGCTTGCCCATCCCTTTCGGCTTCTTTCTCTGTTGTTGTTCTTGCTTTCCTCTGACCCCTGTCTCATCCAATTTTGAATTTACCCCTGAGCCCTCCAACTCCTTTGATGATTTGCTGTCCTTGTCAAATTTCAGCAATTCATTCTCATTTGGTTGTCTGTCCCCTGCGTCTCTAGTACCGTACTTCACGGCTGGACAGGGTGATGGTGACGATAGCCCATCAGATGCTGTGCTGTCCTTCTCGGCATTCACCTGCCCGTCCTTCACAGAAGCGCATTGCTTTTTGTTATATTCTTTCTCAATTTCCTTCTGTATCAGGGCTTCAATCATGTAGGTGTCCACGATATTGTGATGGATCCAACGGAGGGATTCCAGATCATATTTGGCGGAATGCCCGACGACGACAGTGCTAGGTCCTACATACCTCCACACTGCTAACCGAGCATTGTCTCTTCCCATGATGCAAGTCCCTCTTTTCTTTGCAGTTTCGATATCTTCTCTTCTGACACCGGAGAACTTTGTCCGGAAATGCTCCATTTTTACACTTGGGTAGACGAGATTATTAATGAGTATGGCCGACGAGAAGTAGTCTACCAGCGTAATCCTGATGAGCTCGGAGTCTCCAGATGCGCCCTGGCCCATCTCACAATCAATCGCAACCGCTGTTCGTATGTCTGGGGAATGACATGGCATTTGTGGCGTTGGATAGAATGTCCAATGATGTGCTAGTTCTCCTGGGGAATAGTGGTGAGCATGATGATATTCAGCACCATCGCAAGGCTTCTCCCACATTTGCTTGCCGCAGCATGACCGTTTCTTAACAAGCTCGCGATAGTTTTTGGTTAGCTACCCGGACAACCATATATCTATATCAAAGCATGTTTTATGTTGATGTGGCAGGAGTTTACAATACCTTGTTTGGCAACCGTGTTCCGGGGTGAAATTTGCACCGAATGACTTTTTCTTTCGGTTTCGAGTTTTTGTCATTCTCCTCCCCTTTCTCTTTCACCTCGCTCTTGACCTCTCGCGACTCCCCTTCAGCTCCCCCGGGATTCCCATCCGAATTTCCCGAACCATTGCTAGGCTTATCGCCCTCAGCCTTCAGTGGCTTCCCATCCTTGGGAAGATATTTTGCCATTGCTTTTGTCTGTTAGTCCATAAAACTGTATTTTCCATCCGGGGCAATGGAGGAATAGAAGTAGGAATGCGGACTTACACTTTCCGCACTTCTCACACTTTTTCTTCCTTTCCAAGTCGCTCTGTGATAGCGGCTTCAGGACATACCCAAACTCCCCAAGCCTATCTTGTTTTGCAACAAGTGAATTCAAGACATTCATATATTTATATGTCATTTCAATAGCATTGGGAGACGGGATCCCTTGCTCCAAGGTTGCGACAGTCTGCCTTAGTGGTAGTAATGAGCGTCGGGTATCACTACCGCAAGCATGCCCGATATGGCGTTTCTCTGTTTGCAACAATCCTTGGTGGTTGGAGAAAGCTCCGTTCACACCCTGAGACAATGATGGCTGGTCTTGGGTACAATAAAAAGTCTCCTGCTTCCCGCTCTGCATAGGAGTCCTAATGGTCAGAGGAGGAAGCAGTCCTGTAGTCCCCAAGGGGGGGAACTCCTCATCTATGAATTTCTTATCAAGTTCTTGATTCATGGTGCTTGATGATTTTCCTGCTTCCGGCCTATCGACCGTCTTCGTATTTGTTGATTGGGGAGAGAGAGGAGAGGGGGCTGTTAGTCTTGAAAGTTGTTGAATAAAAGGCTGCAATGGTTTGTTGTTTATGCCCTTGAAGAGAAGAAAGAAGAAGAGGTAGCAGAAGATATAGAAAAAAAAAAAAAAAAAAAAAAAAAAAAAAAAACCAAGCCTTGTCTCTTATATATGTGTCTATTTTTGACAGTTTTTGCGTTTGTGTTGTGTTAGTCCTCGAAGCCGACAGGGGGAAAAAGAGACAGCTGAGTTATCGTCTCAACTACATGACTTGTCCATCTCTTCTTTGTGTTGAATAAGAAGGCATGAATGAATGAATGAACATATGTGTTATCAGGTAATTGAGCTACAGGAAAGCAAACTGTCTCTGATGAACATAACACAAGCTGAGGAAATGTATAAATCCCTAGATACCTAGGTTGGGACCTCTTCTTTTGAGTTCCTGTGTAGAAGACAGACATGAATTCAACCTCCCTCCAGAAATTATGATAGATGGAGAAGCAAAGTTTCTCATTGGTTGATTTGATGTAACTAATGTATTGAATCACCTTTCTGTAACTTCTTCTCATCCAAATCCATTCATATTCACCAAATCATTAGATATGCCCACAAAATCAACAGATCAAGGTTCTAATCAAGGAGGGAGGCTTTTCTTAGCTATTGAGGCCTATAAAATGGGTCAAATTTCATATATTACGTCTGCTGCCAAAACGTACGGTGTTCCACCCTCGACCGTATGCGATCGAATCAAGGGAGTCAAAACGCGTTCAAATGCTCGACTTTCTAATCGAAAGCTGACCTCCATAGAGGAAGAATATCTAGTCCAATGAAAATATCCGTGGATGAGAGGGGTTAGCCTCCTCGAATTGAAAATGTATGAAATATGATGGATTTTCTATTTTCTACCCGAGTTGAATCTACTGTGGGAGAAAAATGGGTTCAAAGATTCATTACCTATTATAGGAACTAAAGACTAGATTCTCACGCAAATACAACTAGAATGAGCTTTATGTGAAGATCCTAAGATTGTATGAGAGTGGTTTCAACAGGTGAAGAATATGATAGAGAGATATGGCATTGTGGATGAGGATATCTACAACTTTGATGAGACTGACTTTCAAAGGGGGGTTATATCAACAGTCAAGGTGGTGACTGAGTCTGAGAAACATGACAGGCCAGTGTTTTTGCAGTTAGGAAATTGAGAATGAGTGACTGTTATTGAGGGAGTCAACTCAACTGGCTAAATGATGTCAGCTGGCCATGCACAGTGCTGCTGTCTCAGCAAAGAAAAACAAGGAGCTGAGAGCTGCAGCTGAGAAGAAAAAGCGCAAGAAGAAGCAAGCCCATACATTTATAGCTCAGAATGGAGTTCTAACAGCTGAGGAAGGATTAGCTAGGGCTCAAGCAATTGATCAAGCTGTACAGGAGGGGGTAGAGAATTCGAACCAGCCGCCTAGAAAGCGAGCTCCACCACGCTGCAGCAAGTGTAATATAGTTGGTCATACTGCTAGAACCTGCCAATAGACCTAAGAAATAGATCTATATAAATTATATGAGAAATTCTAGTTGATGGTTGCGGGGCCTTTCCGTGATGAGAGGTTTCGGGCTAAGCAACACTCTCGCGGTGGCTTGACAATTCCTCTCACTAAATGGGGGAAAAGTTGAAAAAGAAGGCGACAATGCCTCAACATCTAGAGAGCTTTCTCGGGAATATATCTCATCCAACTCCCTTTCCCTTTTCCTCTAAGCTTTTGTGTCTCAAACCTCAAACCTCCTTATGGAGGGACTTTCTTATACACCCGTGTGAGAAATACCAGGATGATCCCCAACATTACCATTCCGCTTCTCATCCTCCCAAAGTCAACTCCATGGGTGCACCAATCAGCTCTCTCGCCCGCAGCTTACCCGTCTCCGGATCATCAACAACACTAGTGGACTTACGGCTATCCGTCCCCAGGACGAGATCTGGGTTCTCCTCCTTGATCTGCGCAAAAGTGCGGTCTGCATCCCAAGTCCAGGGGGGTTTATCAGCTGCAAAAGGGAGACCCATATCCTCGAGATTGCGCTGATTGGTTTCCGGATACAACGCTCAGACCATTCGTTGGGACGGCGATGGCTGGAGATGCCGAAACTGTAGAGGGTCGCCTTTCGCTGATGGATTCGAACATTATGGGACAGAGGGGGGGGGAAGTCGGCAGATTTCGTGTTTTATGTGCAATTAGCAATGAACTCTTTTGCTCTATTTTGGAGTGCTTCTTTTTTGCCCCGTAAGATTTCATTCGAAAGGAGTCCTGCGTGATCCGTAACAAGACAACCAAATTGCGCCCGGCGTCCAAGATGCAGTTTTCCCGATCCGCAGCCCGTATACATAGACCAGCAGGAATTGATGTGTGAAAGCGCTTTCTTTAGCTTAGCAGGATTCTTGAAAAACAACCAACAATTCAAGCCAGTAGGCAATCACAACACCTAGTAAATTGAGTGTAAGCTCAATGGCAACGAATTACCCGCAAGATTTCTGCTCAGCAATTTCCGTGGTAATGAGCTTGTTATTGGGTTTTGCAGATGGATGTATCCTGTAATTGATGATGCTCTTTCATGGAGGTTTTGACAGAGAGAAATCCATCCCAACACCAGCTGGGAGTTCTCCTATAGAGAGACCATATAGTTGATGTTGGTCCAAAACCAATGGCTGGCGAGCGATACGATTGTCAACCTCATGCTCTCCATTCATCGTAAGCTTCCAAGATGAAGCTAGAAGGAGCAGATCGTAGAATGGGACAAATTTTTGACTGGGGGAGAATCATGGTGGCCTCGTCCAGGTAGCGGGAACTCCTTGGGTGGAGCGCCCATACGTACAGCCAGCCCATTTCCTTGGGAAGCACTTCAGACGTGGCCAGCAGATACATCCTCAACCGTCCAGATTGAGGTGAAGGAACATGGAAATTTCAGGCATCCCTCAGAACACAATCAGATGGATTGCTTTTTTTTGAGTGGCGGGTGGTTCAAAGATGCATAACATAGGAAAGGGAAAGACTCAACACATGGCACAGGAGAAGGCTTTGTTTTGTTGTCCTGGACGTCTGTGTCCAGATGTTCAAATACATCCATCCATTAATCGGCCGCAATCCCTTAATACTCGGTTTTCACTCCCAGTAACTATTTAAAGACTTCTCGTGGCAAATACTAACAGATCTGACAGCCACTTGGCAGTTATGTGTAACTATCCACGCCAGCACTGCTCATGGCAGTGGTGAACTCTATGCACAAATTCCCACTGGATTAACTCACGCCCCTTTTAACTTTCAATTTTAATTCTCGTTATTTGTCTTTTGTCGGTCTTGTTGATGTTGCAGATGGAAAGTTCCCGCAAGGACAATTGCTCTGACTAGGTTGGTTGGTTGGTTAGTTAGTATTAACTAGTTAGCTGGTTGGTTAGGTGATTGCGCTTACTAATCCCTCATCTCCGGTTCCCAACGTAGTTAACTGACTTGGTTTGGAACGTCAAAGCATCGATCCCGTACCTACAAAACAGCATCTACAGCACTCTCTCTCCATACTCGCCTTGTATTCTCGCTGCGCCGTCTCCCTACTCTCCTCTCTACGTCTGGCTGTTATCTACAGGTCCAGACGTCCCGCTTCTCTCTTGTCCGCTCCCACTTGCGTATGTCTTCGAGCATCACAGCTATGTTTCGGCCCGTCCTCCCTCGCCTGGCTGGCCGCTCCATTAGCCGGCAGATGCGGCAATCACAGATATGCTCTGCTTCCGCTGTTCTCTCCGGGCCCCATGTACTTGGACACTCGAGAAGAGGTTACGCTACCAGCTCAGGTGGGACCCGACCTCAGCCTCCCGTTCAATGGTGCAACTGTAGAACATCACTGACATCATAACGTCAAATGCAGAGGAACATGATGTGGTTGTAATAGGTGGTGGAGTTGCGGGATATGTGGCTGCTATCAAAGCTGGCCAGGAGGGTTTGAAAGTATAACAGCATCCTTTTGTTCCCAAAGTCCTTTGTTGCGGTCGGTTCTGGCGACGACTATTTTTTCATCTGTCTTGAGGTGCATGTCTAACCGCGCTTACCATCGGGTAGACGGTATGTATCGAAAAACGAGGGAAATTGGGCGGCACATGTTTGAACGTTGGATGTATCCCTTCGAAATCCCTCCTTAACAACTCCCATTTATACCACCAAATTCTCCATGACACCAAAAAGCGCGGAATCGAAGTCGGTGATGTCAAGCTCAACCTCGAGCAAATGATGAAGGCGAAGGAGTCCTCCGTTGACAGTCTCACTAAAGGCATTGAGTTCCTCCTGAAGAAGAACAAAGTCGAATATGTCAAGGGAACGGGCTCCTTTGTCGACCTGAACTCTGTCAAGGTGGATCTGCTGGAAGGTGGTGAGCGCACTCTGAAAGGCAAAAATATTATTGTCGCGACGGGAAGCGAACCTACTCCCTTCCCTGGCTTGACCATCGACGAGAAGCGCATCATCACAAGCACTGGCGCTTTGGAACTCCAAGAAGTTCCAAAAAAAATGATTGTTATTGGTGGCGGTATCATTGGTCTGGAGATGGTATAGTTGCTCTCACCTCTTCACCTCTTACCCTAAGTTGCTTCACCCGGCTATTTATCCAGCTCTCTGACCCACAACTCAGGCGTCTGTCTGGTCCCGATTGGGTGCGGAAGTCACAATTGTTGAGTTCCTCAGCCAAATCGGCGGTCCCGGCATGGATGCTGAAATCTCCAAGCAAGCCCAAAAAATCCTTGGGAAACAAGGAATCAAATTCCTCGTCGGCACAAAGGTCACATCTGGCGACGACAGCGGTAAAAACGTTGTTCTCAATGTCGAGTCCGCCAAGGGTGGCAAGGAACAGAAACTGGACGCTGACGTTGTCCTCGTCGCCATTGGCCGCAGACCGTACACAGAAGGTTTAGGTTTGGACAAGGTTGGAGTCGAGGTCGACGAGAAGGGTCGCGTGGTCATTGATCAGGAATATCGAACGAAGTCCCAGCATATCCGCGTCATCGGCGACTGCACTTTCGGACCCATGCTCGCGCACAAGGCGGAGGAAGAGGCCGTCGCCGCCATCGAATACATCAAGAAGGGCTACGGCCACGTTAACTATGCAGCCATCCCAAGTGTCATGTACACGCATCCCGAAGTTGCCTGGGTTGGCCAAAATGAAGCAGATGTCAAAGCCGCGGGCATCAAATACCGCGTTGGCACGTTCCCGTTTTCCGCAAACTCGCGCGCCAAGACCAATCTGGACACGGAGGGACTGGTGAAGTTCATCGCGGATGCGGAGACTGATCGTATTCTCGGTGTACATATCATTGGTCCGGGAGCTGGGGAGATGATTGCCGAAGCCACCTTGGCGATTGAGTATGGGGCTAGCTGTGAGGATGTCGCCCGCACATGCCATGCTCACCCAACGCTATCAGAGGCGTTTAAGGAGGCGGCTATGGCTACGTATTCGAAAGCGATTCATTTCTAGAGGTGTACGGTCCCTTTTCTTATGTGTGTGTGTCTGTGTGTTTTGTTGTCGCTCTACTGGCGATACCTTGATTAACCTGCACATGCCATTCACTTCAATCCCCTCCCCTCCTTGAACGATATCATCCGAAATGTTTCACACCATTTCTCAGCCCCCGATCTCCCACACACCCCTTTTCTTTATCCTGTCTAAATTCTTTTCATGTATTTTGTATGTGTCATAACAGACCCGTTTTTTCTCCTTTTTTTTGCCTCCTTAAGCTTCTACATATAAACATCCCGCAAACTTGTACTTTTGATTTTCCTTTTGGTACAGCGAAAGACTAAAAAAAATAAAGATTAAGAGAATTAAACAAGTACTTACACACCTTAAGACTATATACATGTCTAACATTTACCCAGCTTATGTTATCATGACCACAATTCGATGTGCATGTCAACTGAAACTCAGTTTAAATGGCCATTTATCATGCATAAAGCCCTCTTATCGTCATGCCATGCACTAAACTTGAATCCCCACAGAGAAAATCTGTGGGAAACACTGCAACAGCCGTTATGCCGCACGAAGCACATGTCCAGACGACGTAACCATCTCTCTCGCCCACGTCATCGTTGGGGCATACGGCTTTACCCAATTCTCCAGCACAGTCGTAAACACGTAACAGACGGCCTTGACAGCTTCTTCGCGAGAGTCGCAACAGCTCTCAATGTATACTAGTAGCAATAGATGATCAGCCAGTCAGCCAGCCAGTTGCATCAAAAATAACTACACCATGGCGTGGATGGGTGTTGCTAGAGTGAAACGGTGCAGAGACAAAAGACAGAAAAACGCAAAACTCACCTTTAACCTTTGGCTCTGTCCCCGAGCCCCTCAGCGTAAACCGAATCCCCCGCTCAGACCACACCGTCAGCATCTGACTGCTCGGATCAACGGGCAGCCGCTTTTGACTCCCCGGACCGTCAGCTGCAATCGAATCCTCTCCCACATCAACTCCCCGCGTCACATCTCTCCACTGCAGAATCGGCAATGACCCAATACTTCCCATGGATGTATTATCACCGGCACTATCGGCACGGGCAGCAGGCCCGAATTCCCTGCGAATCCCCTCAAACAACTCGTCCGTGACCCTTCTGCTCGGCGAAACAAAATATCCATTCAAACTCTCATGATACCCATACTTTCCATAAAGCTCCATCAACTTCTCGTACGGCGTTAGCCCATCGCGGACTCTCCAGGTTGTTTCGGCGGCAAGAAATACCATGGCGGCCGTTAGGCCGTCTTTGTCGTAGCTGATTGCAGGGAACATGTAGCCGAGGGCTTCTTCGAAAGCAAACGGGATGGTGTAGGCGCCGTCAGCAGAGGCCCGAGTTTGGAGTTTCCTGGCAACGTTTCCGAGCCATTTGAAGCCAGTCAGTGTTTCTTGGAAGTGGATGGATTCGGCTGCGGCGAGTTTGGAGAGCATGCTTGTTGAGACGGCGGTGGTGAGCATGGCGATCTTTTTCGTGTGTCGCATGGGGGTTTCTTGCTGGGACTGGGACTGCGACTGGGTCTGGGACTGGGTCTGGGTCTGGGTCTGGGTTTCGGCTTGGATTGCGTCGAGCATGTAAGAGGCAAGGAGGATGCCAAGTTGGTCGCCGGTGAATTTCACCCAGATGCCACTGAGTTTAAGTAAAAGACATTTGTTGTGTTAGGCAAGTGGATAACGGCCGGGATCAGATGTAGCAGAACCATACACAGAAGTGGAGGGGGGGAATTGTGACATACTTGACTTTCTCTGCCACGGCAAGCCTATCAGCATCGGGGTCATTGGCGATGATCAGGCTCCGATTCACGGCGTCGGCGGTTTTCATGGCCAAATCCAATGCGCCGGCTTCTTCAGGATTTGGGAAATCAACGGTTGGGAAATCCGGATTCGGTTCCTGCTGTTCGGCCACGGTGATCATGTCTGTTATCCCCAACTCTTCGCAAAGGCGGGACATGGTTGCATAGCCCACTCCGTGTAACGGAGTGTAGACAAATTGCCTTGGAGGACCGGTGATGAGTCTGATTGAGTTCTGCAGTATGTTTTGTTATTTCGAAGTGCATAAGAGCGAATTAGACGTAGTGATTCGGGGATATATATGTGGACATACAATGAACCTGGTGACGGCGCTGCAATACATTTTCGCTGTATCCTCGTAGGAATCTAGGGTCAAATATTTGTTCTGGTCTAATGTGGCCCAGGCGGACGGCCATGGTTCCAGGTTTCCTTGAATTAATTGAGCAATCTGGGCGTCCATGGGAGTATTTATCTGACAGCCGGATGAAGTGTATCTATATAATCAAGAAGGTCAGTGATCGCTACATGTATAGATATCCAGATAGAAGCTAACACTTTGTATCCTAATTATTCATGGCGGACATTATTTAGCCAAACCACACATA